TACTAGCTCACATGCGGATCATCTCCGCTGCACAACGAGCACGAACTTCGATGGAGAATACGATAATGTCCATCGACAACAGCCTATCATATGCGATGCTTCGTCACAACAAATGTATCACAATCTACAGCTGCACCAAGCTCGTCAACAGCATATTTTGCAGCCTTCTCGCATACAGCAACATCATCAGCAACAAAAATGCTTGAAACAATCGGCAACAATAAATCAGCAAAACCAACATCAGAATTCTTTATTGCAACAGCAACAGCAAATGCTGCATTGTCAACAAACCCAAGTGACATTGCAGCAACAGCAATTTCAAGTGTTGCAACAACCACAACAGCAACAAAATTTTCCACATCAGCCACAAGTCGTTCAACAGAAACAGCAGATGCAACAGTCGCAGCATGGATATGTACAGTTCTCACTGCAGAAACAATTAAAGAAACATTTTATACAACAACGTGATGATGGTGACGAGGAAGAGGAGGATGTGCAGCAGAGACCACTGACAGCAAAAGAAGAATATAGGGAACTGAAGCATCGCTTCAAATTTCTCGTTTATGTGAGTTTTTAAAGGAAGTACTTCTAGACGAAAGTTCTTAGGTGCTATATTATATTAATATAATGTAATATTACATTAGTATTGTATTATATATATATATATATAAAGCATTGAATGTTTGTAAAGTTAGTTTTAAAAAGAAATCTCGATGTTGTAGCGCATCCATTGTTTCTGTAATGAGGTGCTGATTTTGTTCCTTAGATCCCATTCTTTTTTTTTTTCTTAAAAAACTAGTTTAGGAGAATGAATGTTATCAGGAGGAACTGCGAAACTTGCAAAGAAAATTGTTAAAGCTTTCAAGGGATAAAAATTTCTTATTGGATCGCTTGCTGCTCTATGAAAAACTAAGTGATTCATCGGATGAATCGGATTCGTCTGTAAAAACTGTCGAAGAAAAGGTGCCACCCAAAAAGTAATCTGTTTTGTAGTATGGCATCAATATGAAGTATTAAATCACTTCAAAAAAAAGTCAGCGGCACGAGAAATTATGCCGAGATTCAATTTGCTCATTTTTCTGATTTAAGCCTCAAGTCGTTAAGAAATGGATGGATGTTAATAAAGGCAGTTTCTCACGTTCCATTCTCTACATAAATTTTATTTTATTAAATGTCACTATTTGTGACAATGGATTTGAAGATTCACTCTGTTGATATTTCCAGAAAATCTCGTCCTCCTGCTTCAAGGCGTCGTTCAGCGAATGCGAGAGCTAAAGGAGCAAATAATACCAGTTGTATAGATTCAGATGCAACGAAGATCTCAGTAATGGAACAACAACAGCAGGTACAAAAACAATCATTAGAGCAGCCATCTGAACAACATCGGTTACCGGTGCAAGATACAGGTTCCCCTTTTGTTGAAAAATTTTTTTTTTAGCTTTAAACATTTTGTGACATTAATTAAAAGGCAAAGTCTTTTTCAGAAAATTTTTAATTAATTTAGAAACATCCTGTATCAGTATTCCAGCCTGTTCTGCAGCGGAAACGGGCACTGGGGAACAGCGTACTGCTGTTTCGGTTCCTATGTGCTGCTCATCAGAGCGAAATATCAAAAGAGAAGAAACAATGATCGGCCCTCCAACAACTGAAAATGCGGTGTTTGAAGAAAATCGAAGCGTTCAATTCTCGCCATCTACGTTTACTTCGTCTCGATGATGATGATTTCCAGACTATCGGTTTTATTGAATTTTTTGAAATTTTTGCCACTGGGCTCATTCAGTTTGCATATGCCTGAGCATAATGGTATTAAATAAATTTTGGTTTTTTAGTTTTTACGTTAGTGAAAGTGGTAGAAATTTTCACTTTGATGTTGTGATACTTTCCCTGGAATTATGCATTCCGTAATATCCCTTTAAATACTATTCTCATTTGGTAAGATTTCGACAGGAAGACTTTTCTTCATTTCCTGCTACTTTTAGCAATGTAGTTCAAAAATTCGAGTGCTGAGAAAGGACTAATCATGATTCGTAACTCTTTTATATTTTGTTTATTTTTGGGACATAAAGATTCAAACAGTCTCTGTTGTGATGCATACATAATGTTGGTATACAACATACAGGAATTCGATCTTTGCGTTGTTTACTTTTAAGGATTTAATATGTTCAGAAATCACGTGCTGCAAGGAAAAATATTTGGTGTTATGATACATGATGACCAGTGTTGCTACACTTTTTGCGGACATCATATTCCTGAATTACTATTTCTATAAATAATCATTTATAGAAACATAAGTTTCAATGAATAGGACGTCTTCCACTGCCAGAGCAGTATCGTTGAGAGTGTCAACGAAGTGCAGTAATCTTATGTCATGGCTCAAACGGACGGAAGGTCCCGTGAAAAAAGAAACTGCAGCAAAGATTTCATTTGTTGAGGGGAAAGAAAGCTTAGGTTTGTTTTATATATTTGTCATTTGGATAGTAATAAGGTAAATACTATTTGAGTATTTTTGCAAAAAGTTTAAAAATAATGGCACTTCTGAAAATTATTCAGCCTCAGGAAAAGATGTTACGCCACAAGGATCAGTAGAGTATCTAAAAAGTCTGGTTGAAGATACTAATTGGCGAAAAGTGCTTTTGGTTGAGTTTCAAAAGGAATATATGGATAAAATTGTTAAATTTTTGATAATGGAAAAGGAAAAGGTAATTTTAAAATGATGATTGTTAATAGAAATGGTAACTTTTACCACTAAAGGTTTTAAAGGTTGAATGAAAGATGAGTTTAGAATTGTTTCCCGTTTATTTCCGTTTTGAAAGTTTTCCTGAATTGCTTGTATTCAGGGAGTGAAAATTTATCCACCTCAACATCAAATTTTCAACGCTTTCAACCTCACTCCGCTGCAGCAAATTCGCGTTGTGCTTATAGGTCAAGACCCTTATCATGGCGAAAACCAGGTATTTTATAATTCCACAATTTCAAATTCCAGCATGCATTTAGAATAATTCATGCAGTTAAGTTTCAGGCACATGGACTGTGCTTCTCAGTTTGCAAAGGTGTCAGACTTCCACCCTCACTTATAAATATCTACAAAGTTAGTCATTTGAAATTCGTGATACTTTTGCTTCATTTTTAATTGTATGTGCCTTATATACGTTATTTAAGGAACTGAAGACGGATATACCAAGTTTCAAAGTTCCTGCCCACGGCTGTCTCGAGTCTTGGGCTCATCAGGGTGTCTTTATGTTGAACGCAACACTGACTGTTGAGTAAGTAATGTTAGTGGTATTGAGTAAACAGTCATAAATGGCAATGAAATTATCAACAAGTTAGCTAACAATGAATTGATATTGCAGTCATTGTTTAAAAAATTTATATCTGTTAAGCTCCAGTTAGGCGATCTACAAAGTAAATCACAACGAGTGAATAAAATGTCTGAGTGAGACCTACATAAAATTTACGTATTTTATATAGGATACATTTTTTCTTTTGTTATCCTGATTATTTAATTTGTAAAAATGTTTAGAGCTCATCGACCAAATTCGCATAATCATATCGGGTGGCAAAAGTTCACTGATGAAGTAATTCGAATCATTTCACGTGAATGTAAAGGAATCGTCTTTTTGCTTTGGGGGGGATTCGCTCACAAGAAAGAATATATAATTGACAAGAAAAAGCACATTATTATCAAGGTGATTATTTTTCAACCATATTTGTTTGAAATGTGTCAGATTGATCAGGCTTGGAAACAATCTGAAATTCACAAAATTTTCTAGACTGCACATCCATCTCCACTAAGTGCACGCATGTTTTTGGGTTGCAAATGTTTTTCGAGAACCAACGAAGCTCTGATGAAACTTGGGCAACCGGTTGTTGATTGGGGTGCATTCTGAAATCTTTTGCTGTTGATTTTTTATACCCGATATATGGCTCGGAATTAATGCAGCGTTTCTTCACTTGTTATGTGTCATTCCAATTTTTTGTTAACTCACAGTTCTTATATAAATTTGCTTCTTTGTGCTTATCGTTTTCGTGGAAGTCTTTACTTGCATTCACTTACCTCACTTGTATGCTCATTCTTAACTCTTGTAGGAAACATCTAATTCCTTACTTTAGAATACTGTGCTTATCTTATTTCCCAATTCTGCTTTTGCAATATTCTGTTATGTTCTTCATTGCAAAAAGAATCTCATTTTATGAAAAAATCTCATTGTCAAGCTTTTTTCATACTGCTGAATATTTCCTATAAATTGATTTTCTATTGACTTTTTTCACAATGCACTTTTACAGTTTTACGAGTTAGAAAAATCACACTGATAAATTTCATTGTTTTTCTGGAGGTCTGCAACGGTACTTTTCAGATAATAAGACACATCTGCCCAGATTTCATACCTCTCCAGTTCTTATTCTCTGGGATCTTCGAGAACAGTCCACTACTTTTTTCGATAAGAATTAGGGATATCCATCAGCCAGTATTTCATGTGGAGAGAAAATAAGGTTGGAGAGATTAGCGTGACTTCAGGTTTTTTGTGCTTACTGTAGACTTTTGGGCTACTTTTACGACGTGTGCTAAGAATATGGGACTTTCTGCAGTCACTTTGATTCAATTTGACGGTTGTATTTGAGCCTAACTTAGAGGAGTATCGATCTCCTCAGCGGCATATACTCCGCCATCCGTAGATCAGATAGTCTTGATAATTCCCATTCAACGGCGAAGTATTAAGCATGTTTTATTCTTTCCACAGACTTTCCATACACGGGTATTAAAATGTGATATAAGCGGGTGGCTAGCGCGTTTGGCTATATATATATATGTATACATATATATAATGCACACAGGAGTAAGCAGGCTATGAATATGTTGATTAGAGAAATCTTCGAAATGTAGGATGGAATGTGAATTCCTGAGTAGGTGATCATGTGATTGTAACTGGAATTGATTGTGGAAGTTGCATTCAATGCGGCGCATACAAATCTAAATTCCCTGTGAACATTTGGTAATTGCGCTATCGGACAGAGAAATAGGCTGAAGTAGCCCCTGGGGTACTGCCGGCTCCGCCGCCTGATGGTGCAAAGTATGCCGATACACCTGGGCCAGCAGCACTGCCAGTAGCACCACCTCCAACTGGCTTAGCACCACCGCCACCACCAGCGCCAACACCAAAGTAGGCGGAGGTATAGCCTCCACCACTACCACCTGTAAGTATAGGATGTTTCATTAATCACACATTTAAATTATAAAAAAACTTTCGGTATCGAAAAATTTTGAATTTTGAGTTCATTGTTGGAGCTAGTAGATAAGAAATACGAAATTTAAAAGGAATTTAGCCAAAAAGGAATAATGGACAACAACCTCCACCAACACCAAAGTAAGCAGATGTAGCTCCACCACCACCTGGAGCTGTTGGCGAATATCCTCCTCCTCCCGCTGGTGCTGAAATCTTTTTCATTATTAAATATTTTTTTGAAGCACTTATATGTTGGCTCAAATTAAACACTGAATTTAAATCTTACGAATAAAATTACTTAAACCTTCGAAAGCTTTTAAAACAAATTAAAGTTAACTTGTTGTTTGACATATATTACCTGGAGCAGCTCCAATAGCAGTTTTTGTTAAATCTACCGGCGCTCCAATAGCTGTTTTTGTGAAATCTCCAGTCGGAGATCCAATTGCAGTTTTTGTCAGATCTACCGCACCAATGGCAGTTCTGGTAGGATCCACAGCACCAATAGCAGTTCGAGTGGGATCCACAGCACCGATAGCAGTTTTTGTTGGATCGACAACACCGATAGCAGTTCGAGTGGGATCCACAGCACCGATAGCAGTTTTTGTTGGATCGACAACGCCGATAGCAGTTCGAGTGGGATCCACAGCACCGATAGCAGTTTTTGTTGGATCGACAACGCCGATAGCAGTTAGAGTGGGATCCACGGCACCAATAGCAGTTTTTGTTGGATCTACAGCGCCAATAGCAGTTCTCGTTGGATCTCCAATGGCTGTTTTCGTAGAATCTATTGCACCAACTGCAAAACTATTTTAATTAATCGATTATCTTAACAAAAATTTATTCAGCTACCACATTTATAACGTAACAGTTCAAGAACTAAAAGCAACATTAAAGATCCACATATGGAACATTCAGATTATATAATCCATTAGTGCTAAAGTCTCGTTTACATTTACCCGTATTCTGTGCTTATGTAGCGAAATAAATTGGATGCCGTTTTAATTTTTTTTTTCCAAAATTCAATCTGTATAAGCTGAACACTTAGTTATTTCCCTTAGATATATCGCTAAGTCACCTTTTTTTCAATTTCTTTCAAAACCAGGAACTGTTCTACTTTAACTGAATACATTCAGAAAACTAATATTTTTAATTTGGATTTCCTAATACCTACTCAAAAAATATTATTTTAATACTATGCTTTGAAAAAATTACCTGTGGGTGAGCCTCCGCCTCCTTCTCCCAAACTTCCAGGTGTAGTCGGTGAAAAATACGCTGAAACATATCCACCTCCTCCTCCCGATCCTGGTGCAGCGAAATAAGCGGACGTTGTACCACCACCACCACCTCCGCCTCCAAAACCTATACTACCACCACCACCGCCACCTCCAACGCTGGGTCTTGCTCCTGGTGCCGCGAAGTATGCAGATACTGTTCCTGGTGCAGCACCACCGCCACCACCCGGTGCACTGAAATACTGCGACGTCATCCCCCTTTCAGCCACGCCGCGCGTTAGTTATAAGAATGCAAACAATAATCTAAGTAGTTAAAATTCGATTTTAAATCATATTGCATTCAAAAAAAAAAAAATAATGATACTAATTTAGTAGATTCAAGACTTATCGCAAAATATGTAAATGTCGCATTTGCTAACTCATAATAGTAAAGCTGTTTAATCGCATTCTTGTGTGGTAATTGTACTAAACATAATAAAAAGTTATGTTAGCAACAAACATTTACTACACAATTCCTAATTCAAACAACAGAAATAATTTATTTCGGCAAAAACAATAAATTTTCTGTTAATGATCACTATCGAATTAAGCAAGAAAAAATCATTGGATAAAGAAATGAAAAAATAAATCAGTAATTTTTAATACAGAGTGAAAACCCAGTAACAGAGATATAGTAAAATATTTTGTCTTATTTCAGTTTTTTATTGCTGACGCCTTATCGAAAATACTCTTCACAAATTAAATAATATTTCTGCAAGAATTATATTAAATTTCGCCGTCACTAAGCATTCCTTAACGTCACTTTTAAAGCAGGTTGCCGTTGCATGGGATTTTCTGTTCTTGTGCTGCGTAAAGACCTGAAAAGCAATAAGTGTAAATAGATAGATTTGTGTCTCTAGTTAACAATGCTAGGTTATTCATTCAAATATTTGGTAACAGAAATGTATCAGAAATATGGAGAAAATAGCAACTACCAATTTTAACTTACAAATAGGGGACAGCACACCAGGCTGCGATAACTGCAATTCAGAATTAAAACATTGAAATGGTTCCACTGCGCCTGACAGACTAGTGCCATTCATGTTTTTATCTATTCCAGGTACTTTTTTCAGAAATTTATGGATATACACCAGAGCAGCTTCGCATTCCTTCACATTTTGGCCAATTATTTCTACAGGAAATACACCGCCATGCTTTGCCTCTGTGTGCAACTACAACAAGTGTATCGGTAAATAACAAAGATTACACTTTTTGTTTTTTGATAATACCAGTATTCTATTCGTTCGCATTTATAAAAAATAAACAAAAGACTTTGTCAAGGATTCAAAGTTTGAAGAAGACTTTCTAAATTTTGTAAAATACAAAACCGAAATGAAGCAGTTTGTATGCTCCTCGATTCTTTTCTTATTTACTCCTCGAATGCCAATTAGGTGCGAAGCTTCAGAAGCAGGCACAGTGAAAGTTAAGCTTTTGTCTGCTTGATCACGTAACATAGCTTCGCATTCGTCCACTGGAAAGTATTCGTAAATTATTGAAGAGGCTGATGAATGAATTTATTCACGCAACATTTCAAAAGAATAAGAAATTTACATGTGCGACAAGATACTTCCGGAACTGATCGTGATACATGCGAGCCATAGCAAACTGTTACGGGAGTTGGCCATTTATGAATTTTCCCAAAATAACTTTCAATTAGTTCCATTAGCGCTGTCTTTGCAGCTAATGCATTGGCTAACTGTAATTAGGAATTAGCTTGCCAAGCTCATTATACTTCCGTTGAAATGTTTTCCATATTATGTTTTCCATATTTTTTATATAAATTTCTATCCCGACTTAATGCGCTACTTCTACATGATCTTTACTATGTGCCTTTTGTTCTGATCACCTCTATTACACATTCTTGCAAAAGAAATGAAAATCATAATAACACTGAATTTAATGCAACAATATGGGTTAAATGTGAATTTTAGTTTTTACGAAGCAATATAGTTATGAAAATATGAAACAAACTGCTTGAAACATACGTCTTTGGTGATTATATCAATTTTAGTGTTACCAATTGCATCAGTATCCTTAAAATGTGGTTCAATTACGCATCGATATGAATGTTCCAAAGCATTTACATTTTGCTTATTGTTTGAAAATAAAAACTGAGCAATTGCACTCGGAATATTCATCAAAATAACGCAAGGTTCTTCATTAGAGCCTTGCAAAGCTGTGTCTGAAAATATGCAAAAAAACTACACTGACATCAAAAGTGATATTAAGGATTCGAGAGAAAAAATCTGTTATTAAACATAGCAAGATAGATGACGAAAGAGTAAGAGATAAAGTAAACTGGAAAAGAAAAAGTATTAGATAATGGAATGTATCACACCAAATTAAACAACATTGTATATTCTTACCTCCCCATTTATACACGAAACATAATTTAAACTTGCTGTTTTTAAAAGATGCTTTGCGAAGAATCGAAACTACTTTATGGTAAGCATCACAAACTGAGGCTCCGTTTCCAAAAATACACACGTGACCATTGCTATCTGTCTGCAAAATTAGCCATAGAAAAGTGAGGAAAATATTAAAAACGACAAATGCTTTACAATTATTTAAGAAACATGCTTTCAACTGCAGTGCTTCCGTTCGGTGTAGAAGAGTCTTAGCATTCAATTGTATAAGAGCAGCTTCGGAAGGTGATACTTTAAATAAAAACTGATAATCTGATTTGGCAGTTAATTCGCAAATTTCTATAGCACTGCAAGATTTTAAAAGCGTAACAAATTAGAGGAAAATATGAAATTCAATAATCAACATGACATAGGTGTTTAAAGCGCAAAAACAACAACTAATATGATAATAACTAAAAAACCAACTAATTCGAATAAGGTTAAATTCTTATCACCATAGGACATTTTTTCTTTTTTTGGACAAAAGTAACATTATTTCCACCATTAACCACTACAAGACGAAAAAATTCAATAACCGCTGAAAATTATTCATTTTCCACGCATCGGAAAGTGCGTCTTGGATGAACTTTAGATTCTGCTCCTTCAAACCTTTCACATAAACTGAATCTTCATCAATGATAAATTTTACGTCGTATCTTCTTTCCAGTTCCAGTAATGCATCACTTGCATCATTACCTAAATTTACAAATTTTTAAAGCTCGACGTTGTAAGCAAATCTTCTGAATTTCTCCAAAAATTTGAAACTTAAAAGTTAGAAAATATGAATTCAGAAACGTAACCCTCTCTGTTTTGTCAAAGAAAGAAAAGTATTTGACCTGTGACATAAGAAAGGAAAAGTGGTAATTCAAACAATAGTTTTGTTGAACAACGTTCCGACATCTTACTTCTTTTCTTTCGTACTTAACTGGGACTAGAACTATTGATTATTAAATTGAAAATTTAAAAAAAAACGAGAAAATCCTATGTTGAAACCATTAAGCTAAGCTATACAAAACCTGACAGGCAGTTGAAATAACTGATCATAATTGAAAAATGATGAGGATGAGTTATTCAAAGTTCTCTGAAGTTTTCCGTCACCGGTGGTAATTGAAGAGTACTATTCCATGAGATGAAACTCTTACTATGCTACTATTCACTGATAAAATTTCCTTTTTCCGAGAAGTGATAAGACTGTATGTATCAGTTAATATAAGTGAAGTCACAGACATACCTATAATACTCCCTAATCTTTTAAATTCAAGTCTAAAACACAACTTCAATTTTCAATCCAATCAGCTTCCCAAAAGTAAAGTCATTGACCCGATTAAGAGAGCTACCCTTAGTCTTCCGCCTTTCTCAGCCATACTGGATAAACGACTGCAGCCCATCCCACTGAAACAATTCAAAATTCTCGTCATCACGTAATGCACATTGCTCGACCTCATCTCAATTTCGTTTTCATATCCTCTTTTCATCTCCGACCTTTTCCCGCCAAAACAGGCAATTTGAAAAACTTATACAAGGTAACAACTATTACATTGTGTCTTGTCCTCTTTTATTTTCGTGGATATCCTCCAGTCAGGAATAATATACTCTGTCTCTTCCAATTTATTTTTTGAAAATGGTCAAAGAAGTTGAACAGTTTATCAGTGACACCAACTCATCTATCACCTTTCTACATAAATCATTATTTAGCACTTTGTGTATTAAGCTTTCTTCTTTACCAGCTGTTCCAACCTTCTCATGCTCGAATCGCTGATGTTTTCTAATGCCGAGATCGTTGACGATTGCATTTTTACTAAAACTGAATAAAATTAAGTCCCAAATTTATCTTACGCCTTAAGTAAAGATGTGGAACGACCAAAACTTTCTAAACCAAGTTTTCTATTAAAAAAATGTAGCCAATCTCGTTGATACCATACTTCAAATACAGTCGTTCAAACACTTCCCTTTTTTAATACATCTCCTTTTTATAAAATCTGATTATTTCTTTTGAACATCAAAATACTGAAAAAGATCAACACTAAAGCACAAAGAATTAAGAACGTTTCAAAAAATTGCCACCAATTTCCATATTACAATATTCTTTTATCCTTACTAGTTTCTTCTCGAATTCAATAAATAAAAATAAAAACCAACGGCGGTTTGCAACAGTTGCTTGTCCCTCAACACGTGATTTGTATATTTGTATAATACTCGTTTGTTCCTGACGTCTTAATGCCTTCATTTCTAGAACTTTCTGTAACTCTGAAGAATCCGAATCGGGTAATAGTCGTACATATGTCGTTACAAATTCTTCATGTGAATTTATCTCCGACATAACAATCTAAGATGGATTGAAAGCGAAATAAATTAACCATAAAGGAGAAAATTTGTTGAAACTGTTACTTAATTTGTTAGTCAATTTTTTGTCTTTCATGTCACATGCATGTTCCACTATTTATTTCCCTTTGGGCAACTCTATAGTCATATTGGAAAAAAAAAAATTCTTCATACTACGAAATTTATTGTATGATTACTTCAACAAAAATAATGTTAATAACATATATATACATAAATGCTTATCAAACAATTGGCCATTTAACTTCTAGAATACAAAAAAAAAACTCAAAGAATGACAAAAACAAACTTTGAGTATCATTTCTACTTTCGTCATCGTTCTTACTACAACATTTGTGTACATTGTTGGCGGTTTCGTGTTAATAGATGATTCAACCGTTGGCAAAGATAATAAAAAGGTTTTCAATGCATGTGTATCCAAAAGTAACTGTTCTGCACCAGTGACACCCACTGGACGACACCTGAATTTC